GTTAAAAGCAGTAAAAAATTAAGAAAAAAAACTCACATGAAAAAGTCACATGCAATAGAGTCACGTCATTTGACAGCTGAGCTGAAGCTGAAGAGTTTCTTTTTCACATTTGGCAATGTGTACGTTTAGGTAAAGCTTTCCTGCGGGCCCGTCAGATGAACGTGGACATCGCTACCTGGGTTCGCCTGCTGAGGAACGTCATCCCGAGCGGAAGCAGCGCGCCCAGTTTCACAAGCAGCCCGCTCACAACCAGTGCAGGGTATGTAACTAATGTGTCTGCAGGTGGACTGAAATGCATGTGGTATGCCTTAATGCATTTCAGTTATTAATTTAGGATATGTTTATTTTAAGTCGTGGTCATTGATCAGTGTAGAGCTGATTAAAGGAATCAATATCTGACCACTTTGGATCAGTTGCTAATGGGTGGTGGATCTTATGTAGCTTTAAAGAACTTTTTAATGTCTGCCATTATTTATATTTTTATATTGTCATTATTATTATTGTTATTATTGCATCATTTAGACAGCGTGAGTTACACCTGAGCGGGTATTCTTGAAGTTGAGTTTATTGTTGGCGGTGTATCCATTTTCATTTTTTACCAGAAAGTAAATACCGTATTTTTCGGATTATAAGGCGCACTGTTGATGAACGGGTCTGTTTTCATACATAAGGCACACCGGATTATAAGGCGCATTAAGCAAAACAAAACAGTCAGATAAGTCAAACTTTACTCAACTCTTCTTCTTGCTTCCTCCACTTCCGTACCATTGACTCATTAAGGTTGAATTTTCTCGCAGCTGCTCTGTTCCCATGTTGTTGCAGTATTGTGGATGGATTATCTCAGTTGTTCTCCTGACTGAAGTTTGGTCCGTTTACAGCATCCTGCTATGCGATTGCATTTGTCCCTAACCATCGGGAAACCTCACATGAGCTTTCATTGAGTGGAAAAAAGTTAGCGTTCATCTGTTTTCATGGATGCCTGGATGTTAAACTTAATTGTTGCACCTGGTAAAGCAGCAACGCTGATGATTTTATTAAAGATGAAAGAATTTAGACAGTTTTTAACTCTCAGTGATGCCGCAGTGTTCGTTTGACTTTGGGACCTGAAACGGATGGAGTTTTGGACCCAGATTACTCCGCGAGGGTCCTGACTACGGTAGCCGTAATGGTCCAACAATCCATCAAGCGGTGCAGCTTCATAGCTTACCAAAGTCCTGCTAAAACATTTTTTGACAGATTTTTGAGCGCCGTGTACCACATAAAATCGGTCCGACGTCAGTAAACGCAACCAGGATTCATACATAAGGCACCCTGTCGATTTTTGTGAAAGTTAAAGAATTTTAAGTGCGGTTATAGTGCAGAAAATACGGTAATGCTTTTATTTGTGCCTCCACAAAGCTTGATTTCTTTTTTCTTTATTTTGTGCACTCTGCAGGGAAATCTCAGTGGAGAAGCTAAACCTGGAAACTGACCATCTGGTAAAACCTGAAGTCAAGACAGATGTAGTGGACTCACCTGCTCCCGTGGTGAGTGAGATGCAGAGATTCTCTTGGGGGAAAAGATGGGCATCTTTATACTATCACGTTACCATTTTCCTGTTTTCCTACCTGCAGCCTCTGTCTTGAAAACAGTGCTCCCTGTCATATAGGCTGCCTTCCTGTGGGCTGCAGTGAAATCTAAGACCGGCCTAGCCGGGGCCTGAGCGGAGACAGAAACAGAAAGAATGAATAATTAGCCAAATGGAGAACTGAAATCTCAGGGAGACAGCTTTAATGAGACATAATTGGATGGAGGGGAGCTTTAATTTGATCAAGTCCAAATCTGTGTGATTTTCCCAGTGTGAAGAACACAGTCTGCAGAGGGTGATAGTGTGGGAGTGAAGAATAGAGAGGTGGAAAATAGAGGAGCTGTGACAGCGAAGCAAAGAACCAACTGAGCCTGAAAATTAAACTTATTTCATTTTCACTTACTTATGAAAGGGAAACAGTTATTATTAAAAACAATGCAGTTTAGTAAGAATACAAGGAAAAGAATTTTCAGGAACTGCTTTAAAGATTATGACGATTATCAAAAATACACAGTTTATTCTGGTTTAAATCCAGAGACATTAAATCATTTAATTTATTTAAAATTGCATCACATAAGTGAATAGGCTAATGTCAAACATAAGGCCCGGGGGACAGAATTGGACCGGCAGAGATTCTAATCCGGCCCACTGGAAAGATTTGGAAAAAGTAAAGGAGTGCATAGATTTTGAACTTTTAACTATATATTTATAGTTTGCAGCTTTTTCTACTGATTAAGATCTCCTCCACGACCATTCATGAAATACCAAAGTAAATAAGGAGTAGATTAAAAATTAAATGACAAAAACTTTCCTCTTTTTCCAGTATCTGCTGTATCTACTGTAGAAATGTTCTACTGTAGAAAAAAGGGACATTATTAAAAATACAAGACTGTCTGGGCAACGAGCTACCAGACCTTTTTCTGTTATTTTAGCATGTGAAAGAAATTTAATTTGATTTATACAGCGCTAAATTACAACATCAGTCATCCTGAGGCGCTTTATCTTGTAGGCTAGACCCTACAATAATACATAGAGAGAAAAACCCAACAATCATATGGCCCCCTATGAGCAAGCACTTTGGTGACAGTGGGAAGGAAAAGAAGAAACCTCCAGCAGAACCAGGATCACGGAGGGGAGGGGCCGTCTGCTGGGAACGGTTGGGGTGAGAGAAGGAAAACAGGATAAAGACATGCTGTGGAAGAGCGACAGAGGTTAATAAGAAGTATGATTCAGTGCAGAGAGGTCTATTAACACATAGTGAGTGAGAAAGGTGACTGAAGAAGAAACACTCAATGCATCATGGGAACACCCTTCCTGTTCTTCCTGTTAAAAGGGATTTTTCCTTCCCACTGTCGCCAAGTGGTTGCTCATAGGGTGTCGTCTGAGTTTTCTCTGTCTTATTGTAGGGTCTTTACTTTACATTATAAAGCACCATGATCCCTTTAAATAATATTACATTATTACAGGAACTAAACAAGGAGACAAAATATCATCTTTTCAAATATAAGCATTAATTTGGTGATTTCATTCCTTGCATTCTAAATGTAATATTCCAAATTATACACTTTATGCAACATGGCTTGTCAGTACACTGTATACCAGCAGAGCTAGTGTGACTTTAAATATAAGAGGCCAGGGAGGAAGACAGACAGCTTTAGACAAGCAGAGAGAGAGCCAGAGGGGCCCGTGGCAGATGGTGTGTTCAGCGGGGTTGAAGTATTATGAGATTAATTACTCTGATGTTTTTTAGACAACTAATTAGCAGTGAGAGGGGAGCGAGGAAGACAGGGGAGAGGGGAGGAGCGAGGCTGTCGGCCAACAGGGGGATCTGACCATCCGGCTCGATGAGCATCACTGACTGATTGTCTGCTTCTACAGATGTTCTCCATCATGTTGCCCTCTTTTTGCTGTATTCCCTTATTGGTATTATCTCCCCCCTGTGTCTCTTGTCATTCAGTATGCTGGTGTTTCACATTTCCCCTCCCCTGTTATCACAGGAACAGACGCCGGTCATTGAGCCTCCGTCCAAACCAGAAGTCCCTGTTCAGGAGACGCCAATCAGATCACAATCCCACAACTCTTTAAGCAGGTGCAGAAATAGACAAAGATCCTTATCTCTCTCTGTCTCACACACACACACACACAC